AACCTAAGAGATCTCGCCCTTTACCTTTATCTGTGGAATTTGGGGTTTAGAACCGGAAGCCACAGTCTGTTCTGACAGCATCAGCAGCACTGACCGGCTTTCTGTTCGCATCTAGCCATTCTGTCCCTGCACACTGGGAAGGAGCTCCATGTGGAAAATCTGCAAAGACAGGATTTCATTACATGAAATTCCCTTCCTTCTGGGAGAAATTTCTGCTGGGTTTTGATAGCCCTCTGGTGTCTTCAGATTGCTGCAGAGTTTCAAGTGTTTATCTCCTTCAGGTTTGGTCTGATGAAAGCTATCTGCTACTACTAGATGCCAGGGTAGATTTGCTTCACGCCAGTCTTTTTCATTCAGTCTGACAAAACGTAAGTTCTAAAAGCCTTCAGAAAGTATTTAGGCACCGTCCTCCCTTCCTCATGTGCGCTCCCCGTTAATCACCAAGACAGTTTGGTGGGATTCGCTCATTTAGCTTCTGCTTTGATCTCCTCTAGAATTCATTTGCTCTCCTCAGCTTAAATACCTTAGAGGCTTCTGAGGTTGGTATTCAAGGTGCTTAGCGATCCAGCACTGTTTATTTTTCTAGTTTCATCTGTTAGTGCGTCCCTCCCTTTTCCAGAAACCCCAGCCAATGCCAGCTTCTTTCTGTGCTCCAGTTGCAAGTCTGTGTCTTTATTCATACTGATTCCCTGGGGCACTCTGACACCATGCTCACCGAATTCTGCCCTTCTGGAAGGGTTCAAGCTGTGCTTTATCTCTCATGATGACCTCCGTGCACCCCAAGGATGCCCTTTCACAGTGCTCTGAGATCACTTTTGTTAGCACTGGTGTATAGTTTTTAACCAGGTGTCCTTCCCCTATCCAAACTAGTGCCGGTGCTAGTTAGCTCTGGGAGGCCTATCCTGGCGATTCCTGTACACTGAGAATTTGTTGTGAGAATTTACTGAGTTCGTGTGTGGGTGATTACCAAGCACAGTATAGAAAGAATGCCTTTCTAGAGAAAACTTTGTGTATACAAAGCCCACAATGAACACTCACTCACCCAGACAGCCGCTGGGATTTACCCAGGAAGGCTCCTTTGTAAGGTTAGTTCAGGACCATTGCCACGGGCTGTGATGGTGAACTGGGTCTTGTTAACAACCCACCTGGAAAAACTCAGCTTTCTGTCCTCTCTAAATCACTCACTTCACAGCTTCCTAAGGAAATCTTTGTCTTGGCAGCTTCCATCCTCTCCCTGCAGATTCCTTTGTTTACCTGAAATTTTGTACTTGCACGGCCTTCTCTGGAGATGAAGGATGAGTTATCCCCCTGGTGCAGGGATACTGTACAGAGCAGGAGGTCCCAGCAGACAGGGTCTGCAGCCTCCCGGGAGGTGCTGCTGTTCTGGCCTTCAGTAGCTGACTGTCCCTTGGGCTGCTAATGCTGGCCAGTAAAGACTCAAAGTCAGCAGGGAAGCTGTGGTCCCTGATACATCACTGTGACGCTACACTCCTTCCAGCCACTTTCGGTGGGAGCCTCTTGACTTCACAAAGCTAAAGCTCAAGTGATAGAAGAGTTGCCGTGCTTCAGTGAAGAAGGAAGTGACACAAGAGATGCTTCCTGTCTAAAGGGTCAGCCCAGGAAGTCTTTGCTGGAGAGCGTCTTTCTGCATCGGGAGCTCTAGACAGCATCAGAGAAGCTGTGTGAGGTGCAGCCACTGCAAAAACATGAGAATCCAAAATGCCCTCAGCATGTCCCTGCGAAGCATCTGTAGTTTAGCACTGTGTTTCCTCTATGAACCTGAACACAAATCAGGGTATTGTAAGGTCTGGGAAAGGACATCTTCTTTCTAGGATATTAGCAGTAGTTAAGGAGAATGACATCTCAGATATCATGTATGTTGTTGTGGGTTATCTTAGGAGATTTGGAAGTTGGGAGAGAAAGGATATGAACACGAAGAGGAGAAGGAAGTGGAGGATGAGGAAGGAAGCCAGGCGAACACCTATGTCTAGCTGGGGCTTGCAGCAGGGCCTGGGCACAGCAGATCTGTACAGTATTAAAAGTCACAGTGCAGCAACAGCTGGTCAGGTATCAGGTCCAGTTCATGATTTTAAGCTTTGCTCTCCTAGGAGAAGTCTCTTCCTAACAGGATTCCCAGTGTAAGATAACCCTCCATATTCAACTCATTCCTTCCGGAAGAGAAAAGAGGTGACAAGAAAAAGAAAGAAGAGGCGGGGGAGGGAGGGTGACGCAGACCTCCATCTTCAAGTACCGCCGTCTTCCTACTTTGTGTTCTATAGGAGTATGCACTGTGCTTAAATTTTTTCAGTCTGGATTTATCCTTGGGGTCCTAAAGTTCCTCTCTGGGACTGATGGTAAAAGTGGTGCATGCTGGGAAAGGCAAAAGAAGACTTTGGTGGAGGGAGAAACTGATCTATGTGGCTTACAGGATGCTGAATGTCACTGGAGCGTCTGAAAAGAAGAATGAGCTAGGCAGTGTAGCAGCCTTAGGAGAGGAAAAGAGAAGTGGGACGGGGGAGAGGAAGAAAAACAGAAGAGAGAGAACTGGGCACAAATCTAGAAAAATCAATATCAGTATCAGTAGTGTGGTACGGGATATATGGTCTCTGGACTAAGTTCTAAAGTCCCACCATGATTTCTGCCAATCTATGGGAGGGTAAAACATCTCATTTACCATGAAATACCATTGCAAAGGAAGAAGTGAGAAACTGCCTCTTGGGTTTTTCTAGTAGAGAGAAAAGTCCAGCAGTAAAATTAGGTCCTGAGTGTTAATCACCTGTGGCATAATAGTTAACTTAGAATAATACTGAACTGTTTTCACATCTGACATTCTCCACAAACCTGTCTCCTTTTATGTGTACACATGCCAGTATATAAATTGCTGCATCCATGTCAGTTGTAAAGTAATGGCTCCAAGGGTGTCATAAATTACCACAGTGATCCTCAGGAGAAGACACTGTCGTATCTAAATGAGTGTTTCACGTCCAGAGTAATGCATGCCTTCATCTGGCCCAGCAGTCAGCATATCGCCCCATGTTGATGGATATTGTCAGCTGGAAGCTACACTGCATTTCACTGCACAATAAACATGGCTGTCAAACCCACGGAAAGTGAAATCAATTTATCCTGTATGGTCAGTGCATTTTAAATGAAATTAATGTACTGTGGGTATGGTGGCAAAAAGGTAGCATATTAGTTATGCATCCTGGGACCTGAGCCTTTCTGAGTAACGCATCATTCTGTCTAGTACGCTTGAGGAAGGGCTCTTTATAAAATGTGTGTTATTTTTTTCATGATCTTCAGAAAGTGGCCTCACTGCCCTCCTTCCTTTTGAGGGAAAAATCCACAATATTAGCCAAATTCCATTCTTTTGTCCTATCTTTTGTCTGTAGTAAATGATGATCACATCTTCCAAATAATAGCACCCCTTAATGTCCTAATTTATTACTGGCTTTGACACAAACAAATTGCTCCTTAAGCAAGGTATCTGGAAATAGGACAGAAGGACCAGAGATTGATGGGGCGTGTTGCTCCTGCAAAATCCCTGCGCTTGCACTGAATGGATTGTTCTAGAAAATGGAGGTGTAATTTGGGGGTAGGGGACAGGATTTCTAGTTTGTATAGTAGGAACACTGACTGAGGCTATCAACTGTAGCTACTCCATATTTCACCATAGAAGTTCTCAATCTACATAGAGATATCAGTAGTTAAGACAAGGCAAAGCACACGTCAGGGTGTCACACTCGTGGGTGTATGAAGAAGCCAGAGCCTCCTTCACTCATTCATTTAACACACATTAGGAATTAGAATTCTGTGTGCCGGCTACGTCACCAGATTCCAGGACTCCAGCTGCAAGTTAAGCCTCTACCCCCGCCCTGCCCTGGAGGAGTTGTCTCTCCAGTGTGCTAATAAGTTAGGTCTTCAGAAAGTGTCAAGGTTTCGTAAACAATAAAGAAATTCTTTTAATCAACAGAAACATATTGGGATCCTTAAAACATGTATTTATTAGTCTACTATTTTTGCATATGAATTGAAGACCAGTTACCTTTTACTTAGTATTTACTATGTTGTTTGAGAATTACCAATATAAAGTATGAGAATAAGAGAACTTCTGACTTTAGGGATTTCATGTACCAGGGATGGAGTTGAACTGTCAGAATGAGACAGTCACATAAGCAGTAATTACTTCTGGGCATGAGCCTGGCAGCCAGAGAGGCCAGTACACCCTGAATGGAGATCCTCACCATCATGGCTGCTCTTGTAACCTGAATGCCCTTCCTGGTGACCTTTTATCCTCTCCCTCACTTAACTGATGATTCCAGTTCATCCTTCCAGAGTCAGCTGATGTCATGCCTCCCAGGATGCACTGGCTGACTAACCATCCCGCCTTATATTCGCTTGGTGTCCTGCTAATTCCATTCTTGCCCTATTTTCCACATACCCAGTCATAACTGTCTGTCTCCCTGGACTGTGAGCTTCTTGAAGGATCCATTCACCTTCGTATCCATAGTGCATACAGCTTCCCTCATAAGTGATTGCTCAATGAATGCATTTTATTGAATTAATTCATTCCTGAAAGCAGCAGCAATTGAATACGACTTGAAAGATAGTGCGTCTAGCTTGGAGGAGTAGAAGGCCTCGGAAGCACAATTGGGGACACACATAGTTTGAAGTCACAGATTTTTAGAAACGATTGGTAAGAGTTTGCTTTTGAAGAAAAGCATTATATCAGGGGAGCCCACCAATGTTACTTCCTTACTACCTACAACCGATGTAGTGTGTGGTGTAGAGAACAACAGGCAAAATCAGTTCAGCCTACTGTCTCTGGCACTGTGTCAGCAAGGCTTGGGGAAACATCGTTTAAAACTGTCTGCTTCTGGAAAACCTCTTAGACAGAAGACGGGCAGGCCTGGGGACAGCAGTGGAGCCAGGCAGAGAAGTGTAAAATGCCCTCATAGTAACGCTTTCCTCATCTTGTTCTTCCTATCTTAACATTACAGGAAGCAAAGCAATCAATGGCTCTGCAGCTAAACTACAGCAGTATTATTGTTGGCCAACAGGAGGCGCCACTGTGGCTGAAGCACGCGTCTACAGGGATGCCCGCGGCCGTGCCAGCAGCGAGCCTCACATCAAGCGACCAATGAATGCGTTCATGGTTTGGGCGAAGGACGAAAGGAGAAAAATTCTTCAGGCTTTCCCTGACATGCATAACTCCAACATTAGCAAAATCTTAGGCGAGTACTGTGGCCCAGCTGGTGCTGGCCTCTCACCCTACAAGGAGGGTGGGGTGGGTGCAAGGGTGGGAAACAGGGGCAGAAGTGACCTTCTAAGAGAAACCACTTGCCAGGGCAAATGAAATTAAGGCAAGTGCCCACAGCAGCCTCAGATGCCACCACACCACAGTTTAGGTGAAGGGTTGTTGCGACTGCTAAGACAAGGCCTGCAAACTTTCCTCTTGGACAGAATTATCACTAGGGTAAGCCTGGTTAAGCACTTTAATTTAGAGTTGAACTTCTTAGAGTAGTGTGCTTACCTTGTAAATTTAGCAACTATTGAGTGAGGTCACAGGACTCACAAGGACAGACAGACCTTACAGGTAGTGAGTGGTTCACCTACTACTTGGTGCGTTCTTCCAGGTTCGCATGGTCCACTGGCAGAATTCGCCATGTACGAGCGGTGCTTCCCAAATGGTGTGAAATTCATGGGGTGCAGAACACTGTCTCTAATAATAACTTGAAGACTTGTAAAATAAAGCTAGATTTAATCTGACACTGTATGCCTAGTTCAGATTTTATAGCCATGTGCCAAGCTGCAACCTCAGGGCAGAGCCCTGCTTTGCCAGCCCCATCCTGGAGGTTCCCAGGCTTAAACTCAAGCCGTAGACCATCAGTGTAAGCTTGCTAGCATAGATTACACAGTTTGGAACTGTTGTGCTCAACATATTGAACATATTTTATTCAACATGAAGCATTACAGTCAACATGTTTCCTCTTTAGAGAGAAGAAACACAGACGGCCCTGTTCTGTTTAAGCTGCCAGTGCAGAACAGAACCCGAAGGAGCTGCGTAAGATGCTGGAAAGCACCAGGCATACACTGTGGCTTTAATTCTTTAAATGTTTTGTTCAAGAGCAATAAATATTTAACCTGAGTAAATACCAGTGATCTGCGCATACACAAATACACGTGTTTTGTCACAAAATAAATGATTTAACTTGATTCTGAGACATTTTGAGGCAAGAGCCTCTAAGAAAATTTAAAACATACTTTGGACCAAATAGAGGTAGACCATGGAAACACGGGCTTTTTCCTTTTTGTTTGGTACTTTTGAATGCTAAAGCAAGTGCTAAATATCACTTCCATTTAGAGAAACTTCAATTTTAGGGTTTCAGAGATAGGCAGAGGAGTGATATTCTTTTTAATTTAAATACAAGCTAAAATGTTCCTAATGGGTAGAATATATATATATAGAATATATATACTAAATTCAAAGACATATAAAGAAATGAGTGTTCTCCAGCCTCACAGCTGCTGATAGCTCCATGTTTGTTTCTTGCCATTTCGGTAGCAGCATTTGTAAGCTTTCCGATGGCACAGACACCCTCTGTTTCCATCTTGGCAGCCCTGAAGACTCTCTATTATTGATATGCATCCTGTGAAAACATTATGAGGAACATGAAAAGTATATTCATTAAAATGTAAACTGTTATACACGAGCATGTCACATTTCAAGGGTGCCAGGAATCCTAACCTGGGGCCCCACGTTGCTGGCAGCCAGCACAACAAGCTGATGGGCACAGCCACTGGGTCTGCACAATTTCATGCAACCATCAGGAAAGGACAGGGGTGCTGCAAGAGCAAACCAGGGTATTGCTGGCTACTGAGACTATTTGTACAACTTCGCCATTTGTTTACGTGTGAAGAATCGCCACTGAAGAACTGCTAACATCCAGTCTGCACAGCTGTGACCACTTTATCCACCAGACACAAAAATGCAATTCAATACATGTGAAAAAAAAAACACATCCCTTCTCCGTCAAGTGTTTAGATAATTCTTTGTAAACAATATTAGAGAAGGGAATACTTTTCCTTCTTCCTGTATAAACCATACTTTAAAAACTCTGTGCTTTTATTAGTTCATCTTTGAGTGATCATTTATAGAATTTGAGAATGGTGCATATGACTTCAACTGCACTTCCCCTTCTATAGCTACAACCTTTTAAGTAGAGGTGAGTCACCCTACAGGTGACAGTGCACAGGGTAGGTCTTTATGTATGTAAGAATGCTAGCATGTGCCTAAAGAGGCTTGGAGTGTGGGACAGCTTCAAGTTTCTGAGAAGAATTCTGTCAGTCTCAGAAGCAAGCCTTGAAGGTTTGTGCTGTTAACCCTTGGGGAGAGAAAGAGAAGAGGGGAGAGAAAGCGAGAGAGATGGAAGCTGAAAGACAGCTAACCACGGAAGTTCATGGTTACGGCAGCAAAGCCATTTTACAGCTGCGCAATAAGGCTGGCTCAGAAGGTGAAGATACTTGTCTCATAAGCCTGGTGAGGTGACCTAAGTTCAATCCTCAGAGTCAATATAAAAGTGGAAGGAGAGAACTAATTTCCCAAAGGTGTCCTCTGACACACCTGAACACCCATGTTTGTACACGAAAAGCATAATATCACCAGTCATAAAATATTGAGATTAAAAAAACACAATAAATACATTGTAGGTTTTGCTCTTGTTTTTTGGCTCTGTAGTTTAAAGAACAAGTTGGGAGGCTCAGTGATGTGCGGTAGCAGGAGCTCCTGAGCAAAGGCAGTGAAGTAATGGGAGAAATGACCAGTCGCTTAGATCTGGAACAAGTCGCCATCGCCGTGCCCGCTTATATATTTAAGGCTAATTTCATGTTTAGGATCTCGCTGGAAATCCATGTCCAACCAGGAGAAGCAACCTTACTATGAAGAACAGGCCCGGCTAAGCAAGATCCACCTAGAGAAGTACCCAAATTACAAGTACAAGCCCCGGCCAAAACGCACGTGCATCGTGGATGGCAAGAAGCTCCGGATTGGGGAGTACAAGCAACTGATGCGCTCCCGGAGGCAGGAGATGAGACAGTTCTTCACTGTTGGGTACGTAGTCCTGAGTGGAGCCCCACCCTCCCCTTCCCTGGAAAGAGCCAAGGATATTCCTGGCATGTGTGTTTGGGAAGAGTTTTATGCGGGGAGGATTGTGACCTGTGGAGGGCATGGCTATGGAACTCTGTCTTGTCACAGGCCTACAGCTTGTCTCCTGCCCCCACTCTGCACAAACCTGCTGATTGCAGGTCTTCCGTGCTCACCCGCTATAGCCGGTGCCCACACACAGAGTTCCTGGTAGTTTATTTAGATAGACACACAGAGAGAAAAGTAAAAACTGCCTCTTAGAACTCCCCACAGCTTCCCGGCTTCTCTGGTGGTGCTTCTGACTGTAGTCACAATGCTCTGCTTTTGTTGTGGGATCCACCACAAGATAATTGGCCTTGACATTGGTTAGAAGACCTCATTTTTGGCATCGTCTCCAGAACTCCTGTTGCAGTAAATTATTCTGTGGTGGAAGCAGTAACAATGTGGATTTTCTTGCTTAAATCAGAAACTGGGCATGTTTTTGATATCTTCAAGTCTGATTTCATGTCATTTTGTTTAAAAATTAGGTAATAGATTTCTGGTATAAATTTCGACTTGGCTGACGGGCTGTCTGCATTCAAAAGCGGCCCCTCCTGACCACAGTAGTCAGAATAAGTGGGCAGATGCCTGGAGATTCCAGCACACAGACCTTAGCAGCCTATGGTGTGGGGGAGGCACTCTGGAGACAGAGGCTGTGGCTGCAGGCAGAGGGAGAATCCTAGGAGAGAGAGGAGAGAGGGGAGACCAGGAAGCAGAAAGGAAGCCACATTAGCTGGACATGTGAAGGAGAAAGGGAAGCTGTACCCTGACCAAATAAGAAAGTTCTACTTAAAGGTGCAAAGAGGGAGCCCTTCCAGGGGAAGTGAGGCACTCTTTATGTTTAAGGGTGTTCCAAGGGAAACCCCAGTGGAACATACTGGTCTTAGAAACACATGTTTCAAAGGGTGAAATGAATTCAAATAACGAACAGAGCACAATTGGGAAGTCACTAAAAGTCTTCTATGTGTGTTGGGCCAGGGTCCTGGGGAGAGCTGGGGCTTTGGGGTTTGCTGACTGAACAGTAACTTGGACTCTGTCACCTACTTGGGTTGGGCCCTTACCTTTACCCAGTTTCCACTTCCTAACATGTGAAATGGGAGGGTGACAGCAGGCATCCTGTATCAGCATTGAGACTGTTCAAGAAGGCAGAACTTTCAGAAGACAGTACTCAGGACAGTAGCTGCAAACCAGGATCTGCAGTTTGATTTACTTATGTATCCATTTCCCCAGCAAACTATCTAGCACCCTAGTTCACCAATGAGTTTCTCTAGACTCTAGCAAACAGACCTTTTCAGGGATAAAGAGAATTGCCCCACCTTATTAATTGAAGATTCTAACATGTTAATAAATGAAGATGTTACAGAAATGGGCTTATCAAATACCTCTGTGCTATGAGTGTTTGTGCCTTTTGAAATAATGCTTTTAACACTAAAAGTACAATGCAATGTAATTGGACCATTCACATGGTAATGAGACGATTTGTGAAAAATACAGGTTCACAGCGCCCTTTCAGAAGGCTGGTCATTTTAACACAGTATGGATTTAAGACTGCATGAGAAACATCTGTGTGTTTAGCCGGGTACTGCATCCCTGAGACTGTATTTATCTTTTGAAAAGTTTAAATTTGAGAGCTTTTGTGATTCCTGCCTTCTTATGCCCCTGTGTGTGGAATGATCCACGGTGGGTCCCTTTGACCACAGTCTGAAAGGTTATCAGAAGTACTGTTTGTCTCCTAACACATATTTGAACAGTCGAGTTGTAGCAATGGTATTTAACTTAGTTAGTTTTGCTACAGAGTACATTAAAATGGATCTGTATCTAAATACCCCAGTACATACTGGTGCAGACTGGTAATTTCTTTGAGACATAATACATTGGTAATTCCCTGACCCTCAGCTGACTTAGTGACATCTGCTGTGTATTGGGTGCCCACACTGCACTAGGTGTTTTGTATACCCAAGTCACACAATCCATAATCCTCTAAATAAGGTACAGAAGAGAGTCCCCATGGTTCCCAAAGGTGAAGAGACACGAAAGCTCAGCTCCAGGTCTTCACCTCCGTCATCCCAAAGAGCAAAGAAACTCCCCTTACCATATTTCCTCACAAGGTGCTTCATAAGCTCTTCTGGAGCAGACATGAGCATAGCCATGCAGTTTGCCAAGTGCTCGTGGACCCTGAAATCAGTGCAGTACATGACTGCGGGGTGTGCTGAGGTGAGCTGCAGGGGCTGAGCTGCTCCTGACAGGGCAGGGAGACCTGTTGAAGAAGGGTAACTTCACTCTCTGGAATGAACAGTGCGCGAAAGGACAGGCAATGACCACAACATCCATTCTGGTTTTCTGTTTTGTTTTTTAAAAGAGAGTTTCTTTGTGTAGCTCTGGCTGTCTGAGTGCTGGGACTAAAGGAGGGTACCACCACCAGGTTTGTTCTTAATTCTTAGTGACAGCTACTTCCCTCTCCCCAGTTCCAGGGATATCTGCTACACAAAGCTAGGTGATTTCCCTACTTATTACAGATTTGTGTTTTCTTTTAAATAGTTAAATCTGATAGATTAGTAAATTAAAAATGCTAAAAAAAACATTAAATCTGATAGGTAGGAACTATCAACTTTGGAAAGTGATCTTCTTTAGCTCTAAGGTTACAACCAGAGAAACAGAAAGCAAAACAAACAAAACCTCAAAGATTACTATTGACGTCTTGATGGGGCAAGATGGATTTTTATAGCTGATTTTGAAAAGCAATGCATCCTCTTCAAGCCGGTCATAGCACACACATTACTTGCCGTTTCTGTGCATTTCAGTGACTCCACAACCGTAAATGCTGAGTCAGAAAGCTGAGCTGTTACAAAGAAATTCTGTCAATAATATGTAATAGAGTTAGCTTCCTCTTACCTGGGATTTAACTCGTTCAAATGACAGATTAAGTATCAGGATTTTGTGATCATCCTATGAATACAGAATTGATAGTCACTGAGGCCTATGTGGCATCAATGTTATATTTTTCTCAGGAATCATTGCTAAAACTGCCTTTTATTTGGAACATGTTTAGCGATTTACCCCTGAACTAGTAGGAGATTACCCAGATACTGCAGCGTATCCAAGTGGGATGGCATGGTAAGCAGCAGTACTGGGAAAGCATTGAGTACTCGTAGTATGCAATGTGCTTTGCTGAGTGAAGAATATAGGTTATTGAAAATATGTATTTAATAGACACCATCACTGTTGGAGGATTGACAGGCAGTGTGTTGGTAGACATGAAATCACTTGTCCAAGGCACTTAGTCAGGTGCATTGTTGAGATGTAAGTCAGGCTGATATGGGAATAACGCAGGTTTGCCTTAACGTTGTATGAACCTTACAATTAGAGCCCATGTGGGATAGTAGTGAAGGCACTGACTCCGGTTAACCTGTGCCAGCTCCGATGCCGGCTCCGATGCCGGACTGTGTTTTTATCATTCTACTAGCATGTATGGATCTTTGTTCCTCAGAAGCCCCACCTGCCCTTAGGATATTTCCTTCAGCTCTTTGCCTGTCTGTTTTCTGTATAATAATAAGGATGGCCATGGCACCAATAACATACGTTCTTTGGAAGATGGAAGGGCTTGGCAAATAGAAAATGCCAAGAACACTGTGCAGGATGCAGACTTGTTATTTTAGAAAAATCTATCTGTCAGATATTTCATACTATATTAGAAGTATTGTTTTTTTTTAGATAATTGTGCCCTAAGTGCTCTGGAAACCTACCATTTTGATCTTAAATCTGAAGGAGTCAAGTGACGCCTGTAAGACACTGTTTTCTGCACTGTCTGGTAAGGAACCAGCTTAGAACTACCAATAGATAATACAAGAAGATTGCTCATATTTCCTCCCTTTCTCATCAGCCACAGAGTCATGCTCACCTCACATTCTCATGAACCAAGCCCTGTTGCCTCCACTTACAGACCTTGACAGGGTCTAAGGGTAAGCAAGTCATAGGGCTTTGCCAGTATAAACATCTAATCCTTTTATATTTGGCAAAGCTAGACTATTCCAGAACTACTCTTGTGATTTAAAAACCATGTCTCAGTGCTGATCGCTACCCAGCCCAGGTACTACTCTGTTCTTGGCCAGCTCTGTTCCTGTCACTGCATGCAAATCCTTCCAAGACATCTTCAGCTTCTATTTTAATGCGCACATTTATTATCTGTAGAGCCCAAGGCCTGCCAGCTACTCCTGTCTGTGAAATCTGCAGTGTTTGAATTTCGACTTTGAAATTGATCTGTAAAGGAAGGAAAAGTGCTTTCTAGGAAAGTGATTCCTGATTGTCTATCAGGAATCTGATTGATGATGCTTGCTGATTTTTTTCAGTTTGTTTATTGATTAGCCAGTCAATTGCTAAGAGCCTGTTAGAAACCAGCAAGATGCCCAGTTCTGTACTACATCACCAAAGCACAGGCATTGTTCCTATAAACAAGAGTTTTCAGAGCAGTCCATGACTAAATAAGCCAGATACATGCATGACTGTGTGCCTTAGTTAGGGTTACTATTGCTTTGAAAAACACCATGACCATGGCAACTATTATAAGGAAAATATTTCATTGAGGGGGCTTGCTTACAGTTTTGGAAGTTCAGCCCATTATCATCATGGCAGGGGAAAAGGCGGCATACGGGCAGATGTGGTGCTGGAGTAACTGAGAGTCCTACATTTTATAGGCAACAGGAAGTCAACTGTGACACCAGGTAGTAGCCCAAGTATAGGAAACCTTGAAACCCGCCCCCACAATAACACACTTCCTCCAACAAAGCCACACCTCCTAGTAGTGCCACTCCTTATGAAATTATGGGGACCAATTACATCCAAGCTACCATATTCCATTCCCTGGCTTCCATAAACATGTAACAATATTATAATGCAAAAATGCATTTAGTTCTACTTCAGAAGTCACGTAG